AGTATCTTCAGCAATATATGGAGAACTTACTACGGACTTTTGTTGAAAATAATATGGTAAATGTTTTAAATGTATAAACTAAATTTTATTTAAAGAAGGAAATAAAAAATAAAGGCATATTCGAATGTACAAAAACAATTTTAATTATGCAACCGGAAAAGTGTTTATAATTGGGACAAGCACGCCGACATTGATGACGTCACATGTCATTTTTTTTTAATGGAATCATTTGTCTATAAATCGGTGTGTGCATTTAATATGGTGTTGTGTTGACTATCAATGTATATAATTTGGTTTTATGTTTTCGAATAGGTATTAGTAGACTATATTATTTTACATGAGCCGTTTTTTTAGTTATTTAGCTATTTCTTTGTTTTGTCACTAATATTAATCTTCTTGTAGTAAAGCACATTGCGTTTTGACCAATAACTATTTTATAAAATATTCTTTTCAAAAATGTATAACATTAAAAATATATAGACCTATATTTCACGTGTAACGGGTACCGACGGCTAGTATATTATAGAAAGAAATCAATATTTTAAAGGACAAAATCATGTTGTGACTTCTTGTGTGACTTCGATTTAGATGTGTATTGTTATGTTGTCTTTTGGAAGTGGTGGGCGACTGGTGAAGTAGAGTCCACCTATATCTGCGACCTCAGCATATAAGGGAATAGTGTAATCAGGACCATGCTCAGCCGATATCGGTGTTTTTAAAAGACAAAAACATATTGAATGAGCTGTGACGTCTGTTTAGATGTAGGGGTCTGTGTTTTTGTGATGAGGTGTGACAATGGAGGGGAGAAGGAGGAAGATGAAAATGGTCAAACAAGCATGACTTCATTTATGAATTACCCCTAAACCCATAGTTATCCAAAGGATGACGGGTGATCTAGTTTATTTTAAAAACCACAAAGTTTGTATAGTAATAGATTGAGTCGTGGTTTGTTTAAAGAAGATACGTGATGTTTTAAGATGTTATAACCCGCTTTATATGAAGTTGGTGTGGGTAAAAAAAAGTATTCTTGATCGTTGAACAAAACTTATTGGCTAACATTTTATCTTTTTCTTCTTCGTTCTTAATTTTCGTATTAGAGGAGATTCCCTCTACAACAGGGGTCTCCAAACTTTTCAGCCCGAGGGCCGGCTTAGCTATTAAATATCAGTTCGGGGGCCAGAGTTTCTTTAAGGCATCTCGTCAGAGTCGTGACGCCCCCCCCCCCCGAAGAAAATTACCGCCCCCCCCCCCAACGAAATATAATTTATATAGAAATATATACACATTTCAATTGTCAACCCCCCCCCCCCCCCCCCCACCCGATTTCCAAATTGTTCTTCACGTATTTCATTCTTAAAAATGTTTGTTTACACAGGTGTGTTGTTCGAAAATTTGAAAGGTACTTTGATGCAAAAGTTTTACTATTAGGAAAGTCTCCCTTGTACAAAAACATATGAAACGTGTCTCCAAGGAAGTCATTTTCTTGCAATTCAATTACCTCTAGCTGCAGTTCATCTTTGCAACTGGCCACATTTGCTTCAAATGGGCTTTGAAACAGTCTCACTTCTTCTGCCTTTGAATCTAAGTCAGAAAACCGCTACTAAAACTGCAGCTGGAGGACTTTAATGATCTCGTATGTAAATGACGTGGGGAACTCAGTGGTTGCTTCAGCCGTAAAGACCTTGCGCTGCTGAGAGTTTGTCAAGTTGTTAGCCTGTACTTGTTCCAAAGGCCTTTAGGTGGGTGTATAGATCAGACACTAGATTTCACGTTCTTGCCGTTTTAGGTTCAGAAAATGTTAATGACTAGTTATGTCTGCAGCAGAGGCCAATTTCTATACGCACTCTTCATTACACAATAATGGCTGTGACTTGCCTTTACTATCAGGAAGTCACCTATTTCTTTTCTTAGACACTCTGCTCAGAATTTTCTCGCAAAATTAGCAATCTTACTGATGTGAAATATGGTAAATCTTGCGATTATTTTTTTAATTTGGTTCAATAGTCTTTGTCCAACCAAGAACAAACTATAAGGCGGCGATTGTTTGATTTTGAAGTTGTCTCTCCTAGAAAGAGTGGCTGTCTCCAGCTTTTAAGCATTCTCTGTCCGGAGCAGGGGCGGAACTACCATACCGCCAGGCCCCGCAATGCGGGGGGGGCCCAGGACGTTTAGGGGCCCAGTTCCGTCCAAAAAAAATGGATTTTTTTTTCAAAAAATATGTTTTTCATGCATCTTTAAAGTGGTTTTGTAAAAAAAAAAAAAAAAAAAAAAAACAGGTCTACTATAGCAGAGATTGTTGCGTAGAAAAATATTTTAAAATTTACAAGAGCTATACTTTGAAAGGTAGGCAAACATTCACCTTACTTCCATGACTTATTGCCCTTCTCTAAAATAAGGATGCCCACGAAGCTCATTTAAATAGTTTTGTACTATGTATATTAAAAAGCAATTGATTCTCTGAATTGTTATTTAAATGAGACGTATTAAACAATGGTATAGATATAAAAATCAATGTTTTCAAAATTGATTTTATACAAGCCAAAAATGACAAAAATAAACATAACGCGAAAAACCATTCGCTTACGTCTTCATATATTTTTGACCAGCATAATTAGTAGTGGATATTATTATTTCTAGCCCAAGATGAGTTTGGACTAAATTTGTCTGGTTTGTTCTCTCAGAATGGTTATATATTGCAATGAAGAAGACTAAATTACTCAGTGAGGATATATATATATATATATATATATATATATATATATATATATATATATATATATATATATATATATATATATATATATATATATATATATATATATATGTATATATATATATATATAGGGGGGGGGGCCCTAATTTTTTCTTTGCGGGGGATCCTTTTTTCTCTAGTTCCGCCACTGGTCCGGAGGTTCGAACTCGGGACTCATCAGATACTTGGATAATAAACACGCGATTTAAAAGAACTTCAATATTTAGCGCACCCCTGCAATTATTTCTAAAGTATATTTTTTAAATTGTGCAGATTTTCTTCTGCAAAAGACTGTGTTGAATTTACCAAAATAATAAATGAGTTGTTTCCTTTCGTAATTGTTACATTAATTTATCCAAAAACGTCACACATCATTACTAAAAACTGAAAATTATAACAAATGTAGATCGATATTGAATCATATTGTATTATTGACCACCATTTCTAAAACTTTTACTTTAAAAATTAAAATTCATAGCTGACATTATTTTTAAAATAATTTTTTTAACTCTCGTATGCATCGTCACGGATCTTCACAAAAGTGCGTAATAAAATGTCCGACGCCCCCCCTCCCCCCCCCCCCCCCCCCCCCCCAAAAAAGTTTATTAAATAACGTTAAGCTTCAGCCTACCACACTCTACTTTCAAGCCAAGAGAATCACTTTTTTACCATAATTTCTTTCTAAACTTTTAACTGATGTAAGTGTAGGGTGGGTACAGTCAAAGCTACAATGTCATGAAACACATATATAGTACTAGCCGTCCCGGCCAGGCCCTGCACTTGCCTCTCTGAAAACCTATCTGTAAAGGACCATGATTTGTGTGTTTAGTAATCAGCATATATTCGGCATTGTTTAGGGAATATATTACTTTTCGAATTAACCCTAACCACAACCAACCAAAACCAAATACATAAATGCAAATGTAACACAAACGCAAACACAAATACAAACACAATTATATAACACAAACACAAATACAAACAAAAACACAAACAAAAACGCAAACACAAACTGAACCACAAACGCAAACACAAACACACAAAAAATACAAACACATACAAAAACCAAAGAACAATCGAAAACAAATTAAAAAAAACACAAATCCAACCACAACCCCAGATCCAAACACAGAGAAAACACAAATGTAAAAAAAAAGCAAACACAAATACAAATAGAAACACAACCGCAAACCTAAACGCAAACACTAACTCAAAATATTGCAAATAAACCCAAACATAAACACAAACTTAAATGCAATCATAAAAGCATAGTGCTAATAGTCCAGCTCGGCACGCCAAATCGCACCATGTAGGGCGTTGTCATTATTGTGATGTATAGCATTTATTTTCTACTTTTTAGTTTAATCAGAAAACGTGGGTTTTTAAAAACTTTTTTAATGATAATTATTTTGTACTTTTTAGTCTTTGTCTGTTTATTTGCATTCAAATCTTGCTATCGATTTTATTTCTCGCATTCACTTTTTTTGGGGGTAAACGAAGACAACTCGTAAAAAACACGTGCCTTTTCCAATCGACGTTTCTTCTGTGTTGCCGTTTTTTTCACCATTTTTCCCTCGCGTGCAAACCATTCGACCATCAACATTCTACTTCCTGATCAGTCAGATTTGCATAGGTTTGTACACAAACACCGCGTGACCACTACTCAGCCAACTGCGTGCTCGCCAGAAGAGGGAAAGTACCGAACCTTGTTTTATCAAATTACAATTACTAGGTTTTGTCCCTTTTTGTACAAATCAATAAGGGTCTAAAATGATCAATAAAATTTTTCCATGGATCAATTTAGTAATAATAATAATTGAATTTTGTATTGTCATCGGAAACAAAGCTTCCCTGAAAATTTCTGCGCGCTAGCTAACTGAGAAGTGCCCGAAATTTCGATCGCAAGATTTGATTGGAAAAACAAACAAATAAATAAACAAATAAACAGACGCGAAAGCAAGTTAAAGAAAACGTGGGAAAAATTTTTTAAAATCTTACAATTTTAAAAACAAATAAACATAATATTGTTATGTAGGCCTACGGCATCTACCCAGCTCACAAATTTGTCAACTGAACCAAACATTCAAATACGTTGTACGTTTTAAATCACGCACTAAAGAAAGACACGTCAAGTTGACAAAAAAATCATTTTTTATGTTGTTTTTTTTTTTAAGTTACATTTGTTCCTCTTAATTAACATGTCTAGTTCAACTCGCAATGTCTAGAGCCAATCATTTCTCGGCACTTGCTATTTCTTACGTAACTTCCCAAAACAAAACATGTTTCTGTAGCTTTCAGCGAACTTTGAACTTAAAGAAGCATAGACAATCCAGTTGGCGGTTGGCCCAAAGGTATACACCGCATTCTTGACCGATATGACGGCGGTCTTAAAGTTCTCAGACAGGAACTCTTGGTCAGGTGAGGAGTACAGGTACATGTCCAGGACTGTCGTGGGCAGGAAGATGAGCACGTTGACCACACAGATGGTGATGAACATCCTAAAGACTTTGACGTCTCGAGAGTTGGGAGTTGATTTGGCTGAAGAAAGATTCTTGCGGTTTCTCTGGGACACGATGAGTTTAGCAGATGTAATGTAGGACAAAACAACGATAACGATCAAAGGGATTATAGCGGTCACACTGTTTAGACCGCTTGTAAAGTAGATGAGAAGAATTTCGAAATTGTTTGCGAAGAAATCGGTGTAGAATAAAGCTGCGTAGGTTATATTTTTTGGTTTAGAAACATACCATTTTAATCTGTACAGGAAAAGCGCAGGCAGCGTTAGAACTATGCCTAAAACGTACAGAAATACAACAGCCCATATAATATTTCGCCGATTACAAATCTGCGAGACACGGAACGGAAGCCATACGGCTATGCAACGCTCAACGGAAATCAATACGACAAGAAACAGACTGATGATTATAGCCGTTTGGTGAATGAAGGAACAGTAAACAAAGTGAAATGTTCGCATAGTGTGGCCAGTGTAGCGATCGTACATCTCAACAATATCGGGCAGCCGGTAGTAACACTGGAAGAGACAGAATATCGTATCAGACGTGGAGAGGGAGATCAAGATGATGTTGGTGACGTCTTTGAAGCCAAGTTTCCAAAAGATGATGATGCTGATGAAGTTCCCCACGATTCCCGTCACGCAAAACGTTTGGGTGACTATAATATCAAAGACTAGGTTGAGAACCTCCAAGACGCTCTCGTCTACAGGGAACCAGGTCTTGGCCGAGTTGTCCAGATACGCGTAGTTGTCTTCTCCTGTGGTGGTGGGGGCGTGGGGCGTGGTCCAGTTCGTGTTTAGCCCTGTAGAGTTGATTACCTCGCTTGTGTTGTACGTCATCTTTGGTATGTCGTACGGCATCATTGTTGTGTTGTATGACATTTTAACAACTTTTAATGTCCCTTGACCTAATAGTCAAACGCAATCTTGTTTTTGTTTGGCCTTCAAAGATTTGAAACCTAGGAAAAGAATTGACCAGTTAATTTCATACGTTTTAACTATCCTTTGACAAGTGCATTTAGAATTGTATGTTATGATACATTTTTTGTTTTATGAGCTTGACATTTTTCAAAACATATAGCCTTTTGTGGAAGTTGAAAAAATACTTCGTTAACATTTCATCAATTTTTAAAAAGCCGGAGAATTATTTAAATATTATTGTACAAACTTTACAGAAATACTAAATAATTACTTCAGGAAAAGAGTAGCAGCCTAGTTTCAGTGTCGCTTTTAAAATTAATGTATCGTAATTTCATGGGTGGCCGGCGCTTTTGTTGTTTTTAATTTATTTTTAAACCCTAATTAAATTATTTAACATTTTAGGCTAATAAGAAAATCCAAGATCTATTTAACTTAATAGAAAAAAGTTTATTTACAAAAGTCTTTGGCCCAGAAAATTTAAAGCTGGTTTGTTTATGTTTATTGTTTTCAACAAGCTAAGCTGGTTGATTCAAACAACTAAATCTAGTTCACTTGGTCAAAGATTACTTTTAAAATATCGATAAAAATAATGTTTCTTTGACTAGACTGACAGTAATATCTGAATGGAAGGATCCAAAGCTACACGACATATTAAATACTTTTTTCCTGGCACACTCGCGGTGCAAATAAATCATTAGAAATTGATTTAAAAATCGATTTTAGATAAAACAAAAAGTAAATCGCTAACGTCTTAATGTGGCAGTATCCGCGGTCTCCAGCCAAAAGATCTTTCAACTCTCTCGAAATAACTTTACAATTTTTCAAGTACTTTCCAAACGTTTCGTAGAATTCTCTTCAAGTAATTTTTTTTCTTTATGAGTAGGATAAATTGAGGACGTTTCATAACTTTTTAATTTCTGGGTTAACAAAGTTTATCAATTTTAACGAAAGTTTATAAGGGGATGTAACATCGAATTCATTAAAATTTCCTCTTGACATTTGTCTTCGAAATATACAAGTACTGGAGATGTAGATTTTTGAATGATACCTCGGAGTTTTCGATACACTCAAATTGATTCGGTACTTAGATCTACCTCATTTTTTTGTTATCGGTGTACATGTGTTAGTCAGACGGTTGAGTCATGTCAAGTACTGACGTCAAGTATTGACGTCATGTACTGACGTCAAGTGCTGCCACTAATGGCTGTTGTACCCAATTCTCAAATCTCCAACTAAACGTAGCGATTGTTAATACAGGCTGAACCTCTTGAGTTCCAGAAATTTCTTTAACATCGTCTATAAATCTCAACTACTTTGTAAGAAGGCAGCGCTGGTCTTAGAATATAGATCTATGTAGAGTCCTTGATAGAGTTCAACTACTTTAGGATGTTGGCGCGGTTGTTATAAAATATAATATTTATTTGCATTCTCGAACCTTTGTTTCATGAAGTCGATTTAAATTGTCAGCTTGATTTAATCTGATAATAGTGTATGCGAGTTTTTGTCTTTTAATTTTAAAAGGTTGTCGTTTAGTTTAGTTTACCTGAAGGAAAAACACGCGCTATTTCTTGAGGAACCGCACTAAATAAACTCGTATGGTTCAGGTTCATTAACACACATGGAACAAGGAAAAAAAACAGCTAGAGTTCAACTGTTTATTAATTTATATTTCAAAAACAGAAGAAAAAAACAAATATAGTTCACATGGTGATCATAGACTTAAAGTTTACTTAAAGAAATATAGCTCAAAAGTTGAACAAAATAAATAAAACAACTTAATAAATATAGTTGCTATTTTGATGAACATACACAGTACATATGTTGTATCTAGTATATGCTAGTTCATCGCGTGTTTCAGTTTAATGAATTAAAAAGATTTATTCATTTCTAATGAATAGAAAAAAGTAAACAGCCCAAGTAAAAAACTAAACGCAGTTAATTACGTTGTGGATTTACAAAATGGTGTGTTATAGTTATATGGGATACACCGCTATTAATATTTACTACACCGATTAAGCCTAGGTAATGTCTTGTGAAATATTAGAGGCGCACGTTCAAGAAGAACACAAACTGCTTTAGTGATGTGATGACCTATCTGCTGTGTAAAACGGACCACTAATTATAGATGGTTTATCATTAGTTAAAAGTAAAGATAGCAGATACTGATATAGCAGCATATCATTCGTTGTTCTGTAAACAGTAAACATAAACCACCGATCATATTATGAATTTTAAATTTCGCACAATGTTTCACATGTATTTATTCTACAGATTTAACGTGGCGCTAATTAATTAATTGTGAAAGCAAGTTAAATAACACAAAATGAGAGGAGAAAAATGTCAATTTATTCGCCTGGTGTTTGTATGTTCTGCTGTGATAAGTTCGTTTAAACTTTTCTTTTATGTCAACATCTATTTCGCTTTTATTTCAGACCATTTTTATTGCGTTGTAGTTGAATTTTTTATTGTTGAAAGATGACCCTCATAACTGACTATTTTACAAGAAATTAATTTTAAAAATAGTTCTTTAAATGTGTAATGTATTTGTGATTGAATAGACAGAAGAACAATTATGTAAAGCATTAATCTATATTTTAGTTATTTCAAGCATGGCTTACCGTATGCTCTCTGTGTGTGTATGTTTAGAAATACATATTTGTTGACGATAGTCGATGTTTAGCCTTGTATGTCAATGATATTGATCGACATGTTGATACAATAATGTTGTACATGTTGATAGTTTAAGTCAATGGTAATGGTCTATATGTTGATCATTTTTATATAAATGAGTGGCCTGCAGGTTGTATTGAAGATGGCCTATAATTTATATTTAAAGAACAGTCTGCCGAACCTTTTAATCCCTCTCACTCTGTATAAATAAATAAATATAAATATTCATAAATATATATATATATATATATATATATATATATATATATATATATATATATATATATATATATTTCAATTGATCCTGTCATTGAAACTATATCAATTACCATTGTAAGCACCCTAGTTCGGTTTGTACGAGAAATTCGCGTACTTATATCTGAAAGGTTGAAAAGTGAATAGATTTTTCGCCTCAGTTATTTTTCTTAGAAAAACCAATTTTGTGTGCACTGAAAAAACTAGATAGACATCTCCACATACACAACTGTCATTACCTCTAAATGTACCTTCATTTACATCCACAAACATAACTCCTTCAACCACACATCCATCCACATCTCCATCCACAATTCCATCAACCTCTTCAATGGACAACTAAATCTCTTTGGAACCATCTTCCAATGTAACATAATGTATGACCGTTTTTGTGTTTCCGCTAAAGTCTTGCCTACATAATGCCAGAGTTTCTTCCAGTCATCTCTTCGGGGGGGGGGGGGGGGGGGTCTATCCTCCCCTCCCCCCACTGCACACAATGGAATTAATATAGTAAACATACTTTTACCAGTGTCTGCCCCCCACCCATGGAAAATGCCTCCGTCCGCCCCCCTCGAAAATATCAAGTGCAGCCTCCTTCCGGAGAAAAAAGTCTGGAAGAAACACTGCATAATACGTGTTTTCAGAATTTATTTAGATCTTGCTCGCCTTGTCTAATTAATGTATTACTTCTTGTAGTTACCCGTCATATAGACCTACATTTGTCCTGCTTACGTAAACTATTTTTAGACATCGACATTTTTTTTCTGATCGGCGTTTTTTTCTGCTTTTATATTAATAATTTGAAACAAAATTAAAGACAATAAATAAACAAGCAAACAATACTGACTTTGCGTTTAAAACGATTTATTTATCCCAAGAATCTTGTGTTTATTGTACGTTTGATTGTATTTTCTACATCGTTATTTTATTTGCATTTCTTCTTATTATTATTCGTTATTAATTCTTAATGTTGGAAGGGATTCCATCCAACAGAAGTAATTATTTCGAGTAAACTGATTTTCTGCCATTTAGGCCGTTGACTCCGATTTCAGCCTAATTTTCTTTTCGGAATCGCTTCCATGGCCTTTGTCCAACCAAGTACAAACTACAAGACAGCAGTTGTTTGATTTTGGAATTGTCTCTCCTAGAAGAGTGGATGTCACCAGCTAACGAACCTCATCTGTACTAGAGCTCGAACTCTAAGGGGAGATAACTAGCTAGACGCTATCTCCGGACCTGTCTGGTGAGCCATGGTTCACGCCGAATGTTTACAATCGTAGAGCCGGGTCGAATTAGTGAAGACTATTAGCGGCAGAAAAAACGGCTGTTTTTACGATGCAGCTAATCGTTTTCAAACATTGCGAGCTACTGATGGTGTTTTAAAGCATATATATTTTTAGCTGTGTTGACTTCATAAATTAGGAATCCCCAAAATCGTTTTATTTTAAATATAAAAATAAACAACCTTCATTGCAACAAGCTTTTGAATGCACTGGAAATACGAAAAAAAATTATCTGCTTTCTTTCATTAAAGTTTTTGATCTTTTTACATATTTTATAAAAGAAAGCAGATTAGTTTTATTTTCTTAATTTCTATGCATTTAAAAAGCTTGTTGCTATAAAGTTTTTTAATATGTGTTTTATTTTGTACTCCCCTCGTTTACTTACAACGATATATATTCTACACCTTGCGAAGACTCGGTGGATTTGCAGTTTCGGTAGCTTTGGTTTCATTGTGCGAGGCCTCGATCTCAACCTTCCTCCTTTTTCCACCAGACTTGCCACCGACGTTAGTGGAGTTGCGTCTTCCCTAAGATACCATCGTTTATTTTTATCCTGTGTGAGAGTTAAACTAAACTCTTATTTGGTGTGGGAGTTATCTCAGAGCGAGATGGAGGGAAGGGGAGTGTAGCTAGTTAGCTCATGTCTCTAAAGACTCTCAGAATAACTTGGTCTAGATCTCCCAGCACCACACCTTCCGTGAACTGCCCATACGACGTGTAACCCAGGAGCAG